ACTTGGAGTCCTGGTTTAGCAGTAATGGACCTCAAAGTTGGTTTGAATCAAAAGGTCAGCAGTTGAAACCCACCAGACACTCCTTGGAAACCTTATACAGGGCTCCCATGAGTTGGAACCGACTTGATGGCAATTAACAACATATATTTACATACACAATTTGGGAGAAAAATTTATACTGAGCCCATATTCATACATGCTATACATGTTTTTCTTTTCTACTTTGAGACTGCCAGTTGATCTGTATAGTGTAAAAATTATACTGCCATTTTCAGATTTATACTTCTTTTTATAGATAATAATTTCTATTCTGTGGTCATACTGATTAAGGGGTTACCATGGACACACATATATGGTGAGAAATTAGAGTAGGTTTATCGTCCTATCAGTATACTTGATTTCTGCATCTGGAGCTTTCATGCCTTAATAATGGTGGTGGTGGTGGTGGTTGTGTACTGTCGAGTTAGTGCAGACTCACAGGACTCTATATAGCGTTTCTAAGGCTGTGAATCTTTACGGGAGCAGAAAGCCTCATCTTTTACCTGTGGAGCATCTGGTAGATTTGAACTGCTGAACTTGCAGGTTAGCAGCCCAGCTCGGAATCCACTAAGCTAAATTGGATATTATCTCTGCACAGTGAGGCATCAGTGGTTCAATGTAGAATTCTTGCCTTCTATGTGGGAAACCTGGGTTTGATTCCCAGCTCATGAATGTTATGTGCAGCCAGCAATCAATTGTCAAGGGAGGCTTGCATGTTGCTATATTATTGAGCAGATTCCAGCATAGTTTCCAGATCGTGACAGACAAGGAAGAAAGGCCCGCTGATCTACTATGAAATTCAGACAACGAAACACCATAGATCACCAGTCAGATTCCTGACTAGTCATGGGGATGGCACAGGATTGGTAGTGTTTTCTTCTGTTGTGGATGGGGTGGCAAAGAGTTAAGGGCCAACTCGACAGTCAGCAGCCAGTAGCAATAATCTCTGTGCCCGGTACTTTAATTGTACAAGGCACTTTGCCTATATTATACAATGATGGAATTTAAATAGGATAATATAGGATATAGGATAAAAATAAAAACTATTATTAGCCCCATTTTACAAATGCGAGAACTGAGGTTTAGACATCCTAAGTATATCACCCAAAGTTAACTATTTATAAAATGACAGGGTGGGATTATTGCCCAGGCCATGGCAGAGCTGTCCTGGAACCACCCCACTGTAAGTCTCCCATTACTCAGGACAGGCTGGCTTGAGGACAGGCCAATGAGAGCGGCGCTGATTCTACTGTCAGGACTTACCTTGAGTGACTCATCCAACTCCTAAGCTATAAATGAACCACGTGGGCCAGAAACTTTCTGGAAGATATTTATCTAAATACATCGCATAGGAAATCCTACCACAGAAATCAGGCCAGAGAGGCAATGTTTGGTGGAAGAGCTCTCTGCCCTCACACCCCTGTTTCCTGACCTCAGGGTCTCCCCATGGCAGTGGCTCCCAGAAACTGCTTCCTTATCAGGGAATGTTGAAGAGCACAGTTTGAGTACCAGGAAAGTGGACGATTCCTAAGGCACCTTACACAAAGCCCAACACCTACCAATATAAGCTGCTCCATCAGTCACCATGTACTTGTTGCGATTTAATTTAGGAAAGGTGCTATTCTTTTGTTCTTTTGTAGTACAAGCGTTCTCTCTTTCCAGATCAAAAAATTTCTGTAAGACAAAGGAAAATAAAGCAGGTGAATAGAAAATGTTTTGATCTTGTTCAAAAGCACAAAAGAGTGTATTATCCAAATATCAACAATAGACCTCATACTGGGCTGATAAAGTCACCATCTTGTGACTTCATATAGATGAAGCTATTTTTGTTCTCAAGGCTATATAAGTAACAAGAGAGAAAATTAGCATGCTCAACTAGGTCTATAAAGAACACTTTTAAGCAACAACATGAACACAAAAAAAATCATTCTTTCAAGAGGGTGAGGGCCAGAAGGTTGTTTAATTCTAATTGTCTTATTCACCAGGGTGCACTGGCATTTGAAATCTGCCTCAGGATGCTTTCTGTTGAGCATGCCAATGAACGGAATTAATATTCCTACATGTTGCATACATTATAAGAAGTAGCAAGCCTATCTCAATGACTAGCTGATTAAACTGGGGATTTGCAAAGGTCAAAGTAGACTTTGCCAAATGAACAAATAAGTTCTTTCTAAACACCTAAGTCTATAAATTCTTTTAATAGGTAACTAAAAAAAAATTGCCACTTCAAACCAAGAATCCTAAGTTTCAACTTTACCGTGACCCAACAAGCAACATTCCAGTTCAACTAAGGCCAGGGCTGGGAAGATGAGAGGAAGGGTTTCAGAATAGATAGGAATGGCTGGCTCTGTGCTTTAGGTGTCCTCTGAATTTGCTAAATGTTTAGCAAATTAAATAAAGCTGAGAGTTCCTGGTGCCAGGCTGCTAACCAAAAGGAGGAGGGAGGTTCACATCCATCAAGAGGCACCTTGGAAGAAAGGCCTGGTGATCTAATTTAAAAAAATCAACCATTGACAACCCTATGGAGAACAGTTATACTAGTTCTCTTCTGACACACATGGGCTTACCTTGAGTTGAAGTAGATCCTATGGTAACAGTTTTATCATTTATTTAACTTTTTTATTTTTATTGTGACATGTGTGAAGGTTTACAGAGCAGAGCAGATATGTCCATTCAACATTTCCTACACACTTTATTTCATCATTGAATATAATCTTCACAATGTAACATTGCTCACCCCACATCCTCCCTGTGTTTTCTCATTCCATTCTTCCTCCTTTCTTAACCCTTCTGAACTTTGTCCTTGGGTAGATGCTATCCTTTCAATCTCAAATGGTTGATAATTATAAGGTGTGGATGCTTTTTCAGTGTTATTACTCTTTCTATTGTTTGGTTGAAAATTGAGCCATGTGGTAAGATCACTTATAGACCTGAAGGGTGACTACGGGCCATAGTGTCTGGGACTCCACCAATCTCGAACAGACCATTGTTGTTGTTGTTGTTAAGTGTCATCGAGTCAGTTGTGACCCACAGCACCCCTGTATAGGGTTTCCGAAGAGTGACTGGTGAGCTTGAACCGCCGACCTTGTAGTTCAAATCAACTTTGCAGTCCAGCGCTACACCAACAGACTTTTCCTATAATCCAAGACCCTATGTGATCCCTTTCAAGACCTTTTCTTGACTTCTTATAATAGTGGTCTCATATCACATCTGTCCTGTTGTGAGTCCTGGTGTGGTGCTGTAAGATAAGCACTGGACTGCAAACCAAAAGGTCAGTGGTTCAAACCCATCAGCCGCTCCTTGAAAACCCTATACAGGGTCACTATGAGTCAGAACCAACTTGACGGCACTTAACAACAACAACAATTTCACTCAACATAATGTCTTCCAAGTTCATCCATGTTTTGTAGATTCATTGCTATTCTTAAATGTTGCATTGCATTCCATGATTTATGTACCAGTATGTTTATCCATTCTTCCATTAATGGGTATTTAAGTTGTTTCCATCTTTTTGCTCTTGTGAACAATGTTGTGAGGACCATAAATCAATTTGTGTTGAGAATCTTATTTCTCTAGAATTTACATCAAATAGAGGAATTGTTGGATAATATGTCCTGGTGTGGCACTGAAAGATAAGCACTGGACTGTTAACTGCAGGTTGGTGTCTTAAGCCTACCAGCTGCTCCTTGGAAATTCTATACAACGTCACTATGACTTGGGACCAACTTGATGGCATTTATGGTATTTCTCTTGGCTAGTGCATTTAATTTGTTTATATTCAGTGTAATTATCTGGAGGTATGAATTGATTTCTGTCATTTTGCTCTGCGTCCATAATTTTCTGTGTTGTTTTGTTTCTGGCTTTTTTCTTCTTCATTGTTGTTCTAGTGTGTACTAAAACTTTATTATTTCCCTACATTTTATTTTGATGAGGTTTATTAATTTTCTTTGAGTTTGTGGTTAAGTGCTGTTGAGTCGGTTTCGACTCATAGTGACCCTGTATAGGGTTTCTGATGAGCAACTGGTAAGTTTGAATGACCGACCTTGTGATTCAAACCACGCTTTCGCTCCAGTGCTTATCCTACAGTGCCAAAACTAGTTTGTTAATGTCTTCCTGAGTTTAAAACTGTCTGTTCTTTCTTTAAATCTAATTGACTTCCTCTCCATTTGGAAGTTCTGTAACTACACTATCCCCTCTTTATACTTTGTAATTGTTTTCATTTACAAATCGATACGCCTGTTTTCATATTTTCAGTCTTGTAGGTTTGTTTTACTTTGGATGTTTCTATTCCTGGGTTGACTTCTGTGTGGTATTGCAGTGTATGTTAATCTCAGGTTGTTTTCTGCTCTTGTTGGTTCTCTGTTTGAAGAACTCCCTTTATTGTTTAGTATTTCTTGTAAGGCTGAGCTGGTTTTTACAAATCTCTTTAATTTATGTTTATCTGGAAATGTCCTAACTTCACCGTTATATTTGAGGGAAAATTTTGCTGGTTAAATCTTCTTGGTTGGCAATTTTTTTCTTTCAGAGTTTTATATATGCCATCCCCTTGCCTTCTTGCCTGCATGGTTTCTGCTGAGCAGTCAGAGCCTATTCTTATTGTTTCTCCTTTGTAGGTAACTTTTCATTTTCCTGAGCTGCTTTCAGGATTCTTTCCTTGTGTTTGGTTTAGAAACGTTTACTTGTGATGTTTTGATGATTTTATTTTTAGATCTGTCCTGTTTGATGTTTGTTCTGTTTCTTGAATGCGTATCTTCTTGTCGTTCATACTATTAGGGAAATTTTCTTTCAGCAACTCTTTGACAATTTTCTTTGTGTTTATTTTTGTCCTCTTCCTATTCTGGAATTCCAGTCATACCCAAATTATTCCTCTTGATGGTGTCCCACATAATTTTTAGACTTTCTTCATTTTTTTTCCTGTTTGTTTCTTTAGGAGATTAATACTGAAAGATTTGTTCTTAATCTAACTAATTTGGTCTCCATTGATTGAATTCTACTCCTCTGACCTTTTGATGCATTTTGAAATCTTAGTGTTAATCCTCTGGATTTCTATTTGTTATTTTTGTATGATTTCTAATTTTTCATTTATTTTGTCAGTTTGTTTTTGTAGTGTCTTCTTGTATTCTTCTAAAGTTTTGTCTGTGCTTTCTATGTTTTCATCAGCTGCTTTCTCAATCTTTCTTTTGAGCTGTTGTTGTTGCTAAGTGTTGTCAAGTTGGTCCAGACTCACAGCTACCCTGTATAGGACTTCCAAGCAGTGGTTGATGGTTTTGAACTGCCAACCTGTAGTTAACAAAGTGCTTATCTTACAGTTTCACACAAGGACTCCCTTAAGCTGTGAAAAGCACTTAAATATCATTCTTTTAAATTCATTATTGGATAGTTTCAATGCCATTTCTTTCTCAGAAGGTTTTTGTCTTGTTTGGTCACTTGTTAGGGTTATTCTGTCTTGTTTCTTCATGTGAACTGAAATTTTCTATTGTTTCTGAGACATTTAGTATGATTGCATTTGTAATTAATTGGTAATATATGTTAGGCACTCACAATCTGTCTCTTGTTAGGTGTGATAGAGAATGGAAATGTGTGCACAGTTCTCCATTCATTTTTCATGTAGTACAGTTAAGAGCAGCATTGGCAGAAGTTGGCTTATGTCTCTCATTGATCAGGTTATACAGGAGAGGGTTGTGGGACTGCAGGAGGTAATTGTGTGCTTGGACTGTGTGGTCCCAGGATTATCTCCCATCAGGTGGGACAAGGGGGAAAAACAACAGCAAAAGTAAATAATAAAGAAAAGATAAATGGGGAAAAACAAGAAAGCATCAAGAAAAAATAATTTAATAACTAAAAAGAAAAAAAGGAAAGGAAAATAAAAATAATGAGAGAAAAAAGAAATAAAAAAGAAAATAAATGAAATTGCTGGGGGAAGAGAACAGAAACTAAACCATGAAGAGGAAATAAAAGAAAGAAAAAGAAGGGAAGGGAAAAAAGAAAGGAGAAACAGAATGACAGAAAAACAAAGAAAGTAGAAAACAGGGGCGGCACAGGGCCCAGAGAGGAGAAAACGATATGGGGTATTGACACCCAGTATGAGTCAGTTAAGGAGATCACTGGGGGCTGGTTAGAGATGAGAAGGAAAGAGAAGGCAGGATGTCCAGTCCTAGATGACATTCCTGTCAGTTTAGAAAACGTCTGGGGTAGGGGGACCTGATCTAGAAGTTCTTTCAGGCCCAGAGGGCAGTTGAGGCAGGGCAGCAGGTTCTGGAAGGAGTTCATGTCTACCCAGGTTGGTCAGGGGCAGGCCACCTGTTCTGCTGCTCTGATAAAGCAGAGTTCATGGGCCTCCGGATATGGGGATGTCGTGACATGCAACTGGAGCCTGATCCATGAAGGCAGGAGGAATAGAGACTGCACAGGACTGGGGTGTCACTGGCCAATGGGTGGGTGAGGGTGGGGATTGGTCATGAAGAGGGTGTGGGGAACAAGGGGAGGATTGCACCTTTCTGGTGTTTGGACTTGTGCTATCCTAGGAGAGTGAAATGGATTATCAGGTTGCTGTCCTGATCCAACAGAGCTTGCAAAGACTTAAAAGGTTGCACTGTGTCAGGCCAGCTGACAGTTACCCATTCTGTCTCCTCTCTCACTGCTTTTGTTCAGCTTTTCCTAGTCGGTATTCATTC